CGTCCGGGATCGACGAACCCCCAAGAAATGTTAGAAGTAAGAAAAATAATTTGACTTACCACTAAGTTCGTCGCCGTACTCCACGGTTTGTTCAGGCGTTGATGATTTCTTCTTCACCGCCGCTGCCACCGTTGTTTCCCTTCTTTTTTATTCTTCTTCCCTGGAGCGCGCGACGCCGAACTCCTGTTTTTTCTCGTTCGCGTTCGAGGTCCTCTTTCGTCGTAGGACCGCTTCCGAAAATCGCGAGATCGCGGACCATTCCCGAGGTCCGTGGAGCAACCCGTTCACTAAGCCGCGTATCGACAAGTCGGGTCCGATGACCTCGACCAGCCGCTGCCTATGGACGTCCCACGTGGGACATGTCGCAATTGTGTGTTCGACATCGTCCTCGGCCGCACCGCAGAATCAACACTCCGCCGTCTCCGACTAACGAGTTTACGACTATGTGGGAGTTTAATGGGCGAAAATGGGAGTTTAGTGGGCGAAAGTGGGAGTGTAATGGGCGAAAGTGGGAGTTTAGTGGGCGATAAGGGGAGTTTATTGGGCGAATGTGGGTGTCGATGGGGCGAAAGTGGGAGTTTAGTGGGCGAAGGTGGGAGTTTAGTGGGCGAAAGTGGGTGTTGAGGGGGCGAAAGTGGGTGTCGAGGGGGCGAATGTGGCTGTCGAGGGGGCGAAAGTGGGAGTTTAGTGGGCGAATGTGGGAGTTTATTGGGCGAAAGTGGGAGTGTAATGGGCGAATGTGGGTGTCGATGGGGCGAAAGTGGGAGTTTAGTGGGCGATAAGGGGAGTGTAATGGGCGAATGTGGGTGTCGATGGGGCGAAAGTGGGAGTTTAGTGGGCGAAGGTGGGAGTTTAATGGGCGAAAGTGGGTGTCGAGGGGGCGAAAGTGGGTGTCGAGGGGGCGAATGTGGGTGTCGAGGGGGCGAAAGTGGGAGTTTAGTGGGCGAAGATGGGAGTTAAATGGGCGAAAGTGGGTGTCGAGGGGGCGAAAGTGGGTGTCGAGGAGGCGAATGTGGGTGTCGAGGGGGCGAAAGTGGGAGGTTAGTGGGCGAATGTGGGAGTTTAGTGGGCGAAAGTGGGTGTCGAGGGGGCGAATGTGGGAGTTTATTGGGCGAAAGTGGGAGTGTAATGGGCGAATGTGGGTGTCGATGGGGCGAAAGTGGGAGTTTAGTGGGCGAAGGTGGGAGTTTAGTGGGCGAAAGTGGGTGTCGATGGGGCGAAAGTGGGAGTTTAGTGGGCGATAAGGGGAGTGTAATGGGCGAAAGTGGGTGTCGAGGGGGCGAATGTGGGTGTCGAGGGGGCGAAAGTGGGAGTTTAGTGGGCGAATGTGGGAGTTTAATGGGCGAAAGTGGGAGTTTAGGTGGCGAAAGTGGGTGTCGATGGGGCGAAAGTGGGAGTTTAGGTGGCGATAAGGGGAGTGTAATGGGCGAAAGTGGGTGTCGAGGGGGCGAAAGTGGGTGTCGAGGAGGCGAAAGTGGGTGTCGATGGGGCGAAAGTGGGAGTTTAGTGGGCGAGAGTGGGAGTTTAGTGGGCGAAAGTGGGTGTCGAGGGGGCGAATGTGGGTGTTGAGGGGGCGAAAGAGGGAGTTTAGTGGGCGAATGTGGGAGTTGAATGGGCGATAAGGGGAGTTTAATGGGCGAAAGTGGGAGTTTAGGCCGATACCGACTCGGCCTAAATCGGAGCTCCGTACAGGGCCATGGAGTGAACGACCGTCGCGTATAATCGCCTGACCCTGACCTGCGGTCTGCGCAGGTTCGGCATCAGGCGTCTTAACGTCGCGCTAACGGCTCGGATCTTCGATTCGAGGTGCGCCAGATGTTCCCCGTAGTGAAGGCCGGAATCGACAACTAAACCCAAGTATTTCAGCGAGCCACTCAGTCCGATTCTTACGTTGTTCACGGTAACGAGGACGCGGGTTTCGCGGACGATGAAACCCGCAAGCTTCCGTATTCGGCAGAGACACCCGGAGACCGGTGTCCCGGATGGCCTCCACCGTCGCGTTAAGTCCCGTTTCGGCGCGTTCGCGAACCTCTGCCCACCCGCGACCGGTCGCGAGGAGCAGAGTGTCGTCGGCGTAGCAAGTCAACGATACGCCTTCGAAAAGAACGGTTCGGCTGAGGACGCGGTCGTAGGCGATGTTCCACAGGAGTGGTCCTAGGATTGATCCCTGAGGCACGCCGCAGAACACATCCGCCCTTCCCGTCGATCCGTCCAGTTTCTCGTACGCGATCTTCCTCTCCGAGAGGATGGACCCTATCACCGACACGAGATAATCTGGCACGGACTTCGACGTAAGCCCGTCCCTTATCGCGGACCAAGGTACCGTGTTGAACGCGTTTTTGATGTCGATGGAGACGACGATCGCGACGCCGCCCCGGTGAAGCGTGTCCCGGATACCGGCGCACACGCGGACGAGTGCGTCGGTCGTCGAACGGCCACCCGGAAGCCGTACTGATTCGGAGAGAGGTCGTTCCTCCCTCCCCCTGATCGTAAGTGTTCGTCGATCCGGGACGCTATCACGCGCTCAAACAACTTGCCCTCCACGTCGAGAAGACAAATCGGCCGGTACGCGCTCGGCGTCGTCGGATCCCTACCCGGTTTGTCCAGCAGTACCAAGTTTGCTTCTTTCCACGGCGTCGGAAACGTCGCCTCTCGGAAACACGCGGTGTAGAGGGCACACAGCACCCCGGTAGACTTGCCGAGAGTGCGGTAATGCACGCCGTTCGGGTCCGGAGCCGAGCGTCTCTTCGAGGTCGCGTCGAGAAGAAAGCGAACCTCCCCCTCCGTCACTTCGGTGTCGCGGTCGCGGTTCGCGTCGTGCGAGAGATCCGGCGGGGGAAACGCGAACGGCTCGACGCGAGGGAAGAGCTCTGCGATCACTTCCGCGAGAAACTCCTCCGTCATGCCGGCCGTCAGCGGTCCCGACGAATCTCTCAGTTTGTTGGTCACGAGACCGAACGGGAGACCCCACGGATCCGAATCCGCTTCGCTCAAGAGTTCTTTCCAGCACGTCTCCTTAGAACTCCATATCGCTCGTCGGGCCCGGATCCGGGTAGCCCTCCACTCCGCCTTAAAACGCGCGAGCTCGTCGTTGTTCGCGATGTCCTCGTAGCGTCCTCCCTGTTTGATCAGTTGCCTTTTTTTGCCGACGAACCGGCAACGTGGGAGACAGGACTCCTTCCACAATTCTCCTATCTCGTCCGTCCACCAGTACTTCGGCCGTTTCCGAGTCGTCGAGCGCGAGCCGATTCTCTTCATGCAGGAGTCCGAGATCCGTCTTAAGTCGTCCCGAACTCTCCGCGCCATATCGTGTGCATTTCGCCTTGTCGGGCCGCGAGACACTTGGCGAGCCGTTCGTTGTCGAACGACCTCAGACTCCACCGGGGCGAGGACTCCTCCGGTGAGGAGACTGCCCCCCCCCCGAGCTCCGAGGATCCCCGAACGAGAACGCCACGTAGGCGTGATTGCTGAGGGACTCGAAGTTGGAAATGACCTCCCAGTCGGAGACCCGCGCCGCCGTCGAACCGGATGAAATCGTGAGATCGATCGTGGACCCGCCGGTGGACCGCACGCACGTCTTGACTTCCTTTGCGTTCCACACGATGAGATGACGCTCGTCTAACCACTGTCTTAACAATCGGCCGCGCGCGTTAGTCGCGTAACCTGACCACGATGTGTGTTTCGCGTTGAAGTCCCTGGACACCAGAATCGGACGCGAGTTTCCGAACCTGTCCAGCTTCCTCGAAATCGCCCTTAGCTGATCTTCAAATACACGTAATGGACGATTTGGCGACGCGTATACCGATACCAGGACCGAGTTTCCCCAGCCTGCAAAAACGAAGTCGACCCCACGGGACAATTCCCGAGGTCTCGGACCCGGCGCCGAGCTCGAGAAGAAGATCGCGGCCCCGCCGTCCTCAGATACGAACCAAGCGCCGGCGCGACAACCCCCTCCCCCCGACGGAACGTCGTGGGGCTCCGAGATCATCGCGATCTCGACGCCCCACATTCCTATCAAGTTAAGCAAGAGATCCTGTGCCCCTTTGCACCTATTCAGATTTATTTGGAGAAACTTCCCCATGCTCACAGAGAACTACCGGCGGAGCCGTTCGTTCCCGGCTGACACGCGGAGGCTGCCCTCCTAACGTTTTCCCCCGTGTTCCTGGTATCGGATCCCCACCGAATGGGCCTGCCCCTGACGGCCGGCGCCCCGCACGAAGACCCACCGAGCCGGGGTTGAGCCGGCCGGCCCGCCAAGTAGCGAAACCTGGTATAAATGTTTTGAAAACCCTTCGACAAACATTAAAAGAGGAATTGTCGTGGTAATGAGTGAAAATAATAATGATAATAATAATAATAATAATCCGTGAGGGAATGTTCATTTGAACTTTTTGGTAATGGCAAATGAAATAAAAAAGATTGATTGATTGACTGACTGAGTGACATTCATACGATTATGAATATTATTATTATTATTATTATTATTTTACTCACATACGATTGTTACGTTGATGACGATGATGATGATGATGATGATGATGATAATGATGATGTATGGAGTCTACCATGTTTCCGATTTTTTTTTTTTTTTTTTTTTTTGGGTGTCTCACGTACGAATGCAGGAAAATCAATTTGAAGAATTACAATCGAATAAATAGGTTGGAATGGAAATATACGTGACCTCTTTCTCTCTCTCTCCCTCTCTCTCTTATGATATGAATGAGAAAGAGAAAGAAAAAAGAGAGAGAGAAAGAGAGATGGAATAGTGACAGGTGATGAGTTTTAAGAAACAGACGACGACGACGACGGCGACCACGACGATTTTTTTTTATTTTACATTTTTGTTGTTTGTTTTTAATAAGGAAAGAAACAAATCTCGGTTGTTAGATTGGCAAATTATTAACAAACACGCAAATAAATTTTATTCGATCTACTCGTAAACGTTTAATTAAAATCCAATATTTGAAATTATTATTATTATTTCCAGACATTGAAGAATCAGGTTTTTATTCATTTTTATTACGTATTTAAAATCTAACAAACAAACGTAAACAAACGTAAAACAATCATCAAAGTGTGATGATAACGAACCTGAAAAAATTTCGTGTGTGTGTTTGTTTGTTTGTTTGTTTGTTTCCCATTGTTTTATTTAACAACCTTAAAATCTTCATTTCACACTCAATTCAAAAAAATTATCTTTTTTATTAATATTATAATTTTTAATATAAAAAGATTATTTTTTATATTGAAAAAATTCATTTCTAATATGGTTTTCTTAGAATATTTTTTTGTAAATAAATTTTCTTTTAAAATTATAATCACGATTTTTTTTTTAAAAAAATAAAAAATAAGATGACTTACGTGTTAATATAAATTTTAATATTATTTTTAATCATCTAATAAGAATGTTTTTTCATTCTCGAATCGGAGAATATATCGAAATGTTTTCTCTCTCTCTCTTACAAACATATTGTTATAATAAATCGATAATCAATATCGATTATCGATAATAATCATTTGTAAAATTTTATATTTGATAAAAAACCAAAACGAGGGATTCAATATGGTTTTTTTTTTTTTTTTTTAAATAAAGACGAGTATTATAAAAAACCCGCGAAAAAAACGTTATGGAATTCGAACACGTTCGAATCGTTCGCGGGTTTTTTAAATTTAAATTTTAACGGATTTTTCCTTTTTTCTTCTACGCGTGTTAGCTACGTGTACATCACATTAGGATCGTAATCACTTCTAACCTTAAATTTTTAAAGATTTTAAACGCGATGTCATCTCATTCACCCTCTCTCTCCCCCCCCTCTCTCTCTCTTTACAGAATCCTTTTTAAGGATCTTTATACGTATGTACACAACATAAGATAGATTTTTTTTTTTTTTCAAAATGGCATTAAATCAAGTCAAGTGTGAAATTAACTTGGCTTTTGTGTTATATTCAAAAGATTTACTTTAAGATTATTTATTTATATATATATATAATTCCATAGAATGAAAAACGAATCTTCTTTCTTGTTCCACGTCCTTTTTTTTTTTTTTATTGTTTGCAAAAAAAAAAAGGAGAGTGGAAAATTAAATTAAATAAGTTGCGTGATTTAAAATAGAATTTGTGACGTCACATCCGATTTGTAGTAATTTTTTCTCCTTCTTCTTCAAACAGATTAGAATTATGGTTATTGGAAGAGGATGAGGGAGGAGGAGAAGGGAGAGGAGGAGGAGGAGAAGAAAAAAAGGTGAAAAATGTGTTAGAGAAACACCTGAAAGAGCGGTAAGCAGAAGAAAAAAAAAAAATTTATGTATAACACCTCGGGTACGTAGGCGTGCGGTCGAACATCAATAAAATATTATTTATTTGATAACATAATTATTGACCAGAGTTATTAATAAATCGTTTTTTTTTTCTAAAAAAAAATCGAGCTTTAAAAAAAGGCGGGAAATTTAAAATTTATTTAAAAAAAAAAAATTGCTTTAATCGTTGTAAAAGACGTGTGGTCGTTTTTTCGATATTAATTGGGAGTGGTAAAAGGATACAAAGTGAGAGAGAGAGAGAGAGAGAGAGAGAGAGAGAGAGACGGTGTAATAATATAACGCGGTAGAAGAAAACATATCGGAGTTTGTTGCTTTCGTGAGCAAAATATTATTAATAATGATGATGGTGATATTGTTATGAGATTTTTACTATCCCAATTGGATGGCTCTATGGCGGTGGTGGAGGCGATGACGATGGCGGTGATGGCGATGGCGGTGGTGATGATGGTGACGATGGCGGTGATGACGATGGCGGTGGTGGTGGTTGTGCTGATGGTGGTGGCGGCGATGGCAGTGGTGGTTGTGGTGATGGTGTTGGCGGCGATGGCAGTGGTGGTGGTGGTGGCGGTAATGGCGATGCCGGTGGTGGTGATTGTGGTGATGGTGGTGGCGGCGATGGCAGTGGTGGTTGTGGTGATGGTGTTGGCGGCGATGGCAGTGGTGGTGGTGGTGGCGGTAATGGCGATGCCGGTGGTGGTGATTGTGGTGATGGTGGTGGCGGCGATGGCAGTGGTGGTTGTGGTGATGATGGTGGTGATGGTGGTGGCGGCGATGGCAGTGGTGATTGTGGTGATGGTGGTGGCGGTGGTGGTGGTAATGATTTTCGAGAGGAGGGAGAGTAATAAAAATAAAACAAAACCTTGAAACGGTTTTTTTTATTATTGTATATTCTTCTCACACGGCTTTTTTTTTGTTATACGAAGGTTCGAATGAATTTGTGGCTGTTTTTTTTTCTTTTTAGAAAATTCTATTTGAAAAAAAAAGAAAATTATTTTTTCATTACGTAATAATAATAATAATAATGATAATAATATCAAGTACTTAGTTTTAATCTTAAATTTCAATAGTGCAGATGTTTGCTTTTTTGTTGAAAATGTTAACAATTTAAAAATCAATTAAATTTTACAATAAGACTAACTTTTTACCAATTGTTTGTTTGTATTGCGTTTGTTTGACTTGTTTGTTCGGTTGAATTACATATGAGAAATGATAGGAAAAGGTGGGGAGGAGAGAGGGAGGGGGAAAATAAATAATAGAAAACCACAATCGAACCTAATCTCAAAATAAAACCTATTTTATTCTAAAACG